TAATGGTATAGCTCTAGATATGGGAAGAAGCAACAAGGCAGAACCATTTCCTGCACCATAACAGGCTAGCCAGACAGGCAGTCCAGAGGCTTTTGGCTACTGTTACCAGGGCCTAGTCCAGTAATAGCACATCGAGTGGCCTGTCAACCAAGTCCTCCCCTGACCTGGGAACAAGCGTTCCTAAGCGCTGTGGGACAGAGAGGTCATGAAATGCCTCCCAAACCTTAGTAGAAATTAAGACCAAAAGGGAGGGATTGTCAAACAAAGAATGCTGCCCACCCTCTATTTTTCCAGGAATCCAGTCTTCAGCCCCTGCAGTCGCTGACCCTACACAGCACACCCTGCAAGGAATTCAGGGCAAAGATCAGGATGAGGCATTCTGTGCTCTGGGAAAACTGTCAGAACCGGTCTGCAGGTGGTGAGATGTTTTCAGAAGAAAATTTTATGAATCCAGTTTCTTGCATCTCTCTGCACTTAGAAAAGCACTAAAACCATTAACTGAGATACCTGTTCCTTGCAAATAGCAGTAACCTCTACCAAGATGTGAGCCTGACTGCATGTACCCCCTTCTTCAAAATCACGTATATGGCCTCCCCTTAACTCTTTGGAACAGTGCTCCGAGCTCTCTAAGAGATTGCCTCTCAGGTTATAATCCTCAGGTTGGCTTGAATAAAATTTTCCATTTCCTTTTAAGATTGGCTATTGATTAATTTGTATCCACAAAGGGCAGTTAGAATGGCCTTTAGTATATGGAAATTCAGAATTAACTTCCATCCATGCAACACTCTCACATGGCAACAAAATTTTTTTTAACATTTTTTTATTGATTTATAATCATTTTACAATGTTGTGTCAAATTCCAGTATAGAGCACAATTTTTCAGTTATACATGAACATATATATATTCATTGGTGCATTTTTTTCTCTGTGAGCTTCCATAAGATCTTGTGTATACTTCCCTGTGCTATATGGTATAATCTTGTTTATCTATTCTACATTTTGAAGTCCCAGTCTGTCCCTTCCCACCCTCTGCCCCCTTGGCCAACCACAAGTTTGGATTCTATGTCTATGAGTCTGTTTCTGTTTGTATTTATGCTTTTGTTTTTGTTTTTGTTTTTGTTTTTTAGATTCCACATATGAGTGATCTCATATGGTATTTTTCTTTCTCTTTCTGGCTTACTTCACTTAGAATGACATTCTCCAAGAGCATCCATGTTGCTGCAAATGGCATTATGTTGTCGGTTTTTATGGCTGAATAGTATTCCATTGTATAAATATACCACTTCTTCTTTATCCAGTCATCCATTGATGGACATTTAGGCGTTTCCATGTCTTGGCTATTGTAAATAGTGCTGCTATGAACACTGGGGTGCAGGTGTCATCCTGAAGCAGGGTTCCTTCTGGATACAAGCCCAGGGGCAGGATTCCTGGGTCATACGGTAAGTCTATTCCTAGTCTTTTGAGGAATCTCCATACTGTTTTCCATAGTGGCTGCACCAAACTGCATTCCCACCAGCAGTGTAGGAGGGTTTTCTTTCTCCACAGCCTCTCCAGCATTTGTCATTTGTGGATTTTTGAATGATGGCCATTCTGACTGGTGCAAAGTGATACCTCATTGTAGTTTTGATTTGCATTTCTCTGATAATTAGTGATATTGAGCATTTTTTCATGTGCCTATTGATCATTTGTATGTCTTCCTTGGAGAATTGCTTGTTTAGGTCTTTTGCCCATCTTTGGATTGAGTTGTTTGGTTGTTTCTTATTAAGTCTATGGCAACAAAATTTTGACTTGTGGCTTTTCCAAAAGCTGGAAACAGGCAAGATCTTGGCTATTGCAGTACTGCCTCTAAAAGAAGAACGCTAAACTCTTACTCCAATCAACATTTTATCAGACACATTGCCCTTTCAGATTGTTCTTGAAAGCCACGGAACTGGCATATGCAACATGACAGGAAAAATAGATATGCAAGATGAGGAGCTATTTTTGCCCCAATCTCTAAGGAGTTAATTTGGTCCATTTTATGTGGTATTCACACCACATTGACACTGCTTTTCTATGACTTCTTCTGTGGGTTTACACAGAATTGCTTTTCCAAGAAGCTGAAAGTGCATGCAATGACATCCTATCACTAAACTTCATAATTTTATGTGAAGTGGGAAAGAGGTGAGAACTATTAGCCTCGCTGTAACATGGAGACACAGAAGAGTGATGTAGTTAAACCATTTGCCTGGGACATACTGGTTTATACTGGTCTATCCTAAGAGAAGACTGACTACAAGACGTACTTGTGAAAACTTACACAAGAAACAGAGTTGTTTAAAAGCCCTAGTTATTACTGTTTTCTTTTTAGACCTTATGGAAAGACTGAGGGCCATTAATTTCATCACCACGTTGGCAGAGAAAAGGAGAGGCACTTTGACTTGTGGGTTCGAAGCGTGGGCTTGGAAGTGAGCCCATCCTGAGTCTGAGGCCCAGCCCCACCGCTCAAAGCCCTTGGTACGTGAGTTAACATTTCTGTGCTTCAGGTTCCTTCTCTGCAAAGTGGAGACAATAATCATAGACACTTCATACCATTATCACTAGGGTTAGATGAAGTACACAGTAAGCACTCAGCATTGTGTGGATCACATAATAAATCAAGGCTTGATAAATGCAGGGGAAAAGACAATGGCTTCACGTAAGTGGCTGCTTATCGGACCCCTGATCCAACACTTTATGGGGGGTTCTTTTTTTAAGATAGTTTTTAAATGGAAGTATAGTGGATGTACAATGTTGTGTTAGTTTCTGGTGTACAGCATAGTGATTCATGTGATATATATACACACACACATATATATATATTATTTTTCATATCCAATACTTTGTACTTGAAGAAAAGTTGTAGGGGATGGCATGGGAGGAACTGGGAGGAACTTGAAGATCTAGATTTTTTAACCTGTCTACTGTAATAAAAATGGACAATGTGAGAGCTGTTTCAGTTTTATCTGGGGACTTACTGAGGACAACAGCCCAGGAGACAGCCCCTTAGATAGCCCGGAGGAACTGTTCCCAAGAGGTAATGGGAGATCAGTGTCGATGTGATTTTGGAGAAGTGGGTATGTGTACTCAGGCACACATCTCAGAGGAAGATTGCTGCCAGTCATGAGGAACAGATGCTTTAGTTAATGGTTTTAGTGCTTTTCTAAGTATGGAAAGACGCAAGAATTCGGGTTCATAAAATTTTCTCCTGGAAACATCTAACCACCTGAGGGCTGGTTCTGACAGTTTTCCCAGAGCACAGAATGCTTCATCCTGATCTTCCCCCTGAATTCCTTCCAGGATGTGCTGTACAGGTCAGTGAGTGCAGGGGCTAATGACTTGATTTTTATAGAACTGGATGGTGGGCAATATGCTTTAGTTGGCAAAACCCTTAAGTCCAATCTATCCATTCCTTAACATTCCATCATCAGGTAGCCATCTAGATTTATCTTTTCTATGTAGACCCCCTGCCAGCTGGCCAACTGGGGAAGCAACCAGGACACTAATTTCACTGATTTCACACACAGGATGCTAATGAGCAGTGGCTGAATCAGATTGAAATAAAAATAATAGTTTTCTTGCAACCTAAATGTCCATTGACAGATGACTGGATAAAGAAGTTGTAATATATTTACACAATGGAATACTACTCAGCCATAAAAAGAATACAATAATGCCATTTGCAGCAACATGGATGGACCTAGAGGTCATCATTCTAAGTGAAATAACCCAGAAAAAGAAAGAAAAATGCCATATGATATCACTCATATGTGGAATCTAAAAAGAAAAAAGAAAAAAAAGACACTCTGAACTCATCTACAAAACAGAAACAGACTCACAGACATAGTAAACAATCTTATGGTTATCAGGAAATGGGGTGGGGAAGGGATAAATTTGGGAGTTTGAGATTTACAAATGTTGGCCACTATATATATAAAAATAGATTTTTTAAAAAGTTTCTGCTGTATAGCACAGGGAACAATGTTCAATATCCTGTAATAACCATTAATGAAAAAGAATATGAAGATGAATATATGTATGTATATCCGTGACTGGGACATTGTGCTGTACACCAGAAATTGACACATTGTAACTGATGGTGTTTCAATAAAAAAAATAATAATGGTTTTCTTGCATTGTGTGTCTATGTTACTTTATGGTGGATTAATAGAAGTTCATTAAGGGATAATTTGATTTCATTCAGTGTGGTTCATTACTTTTTATTTTTTTCCCTTTTATTGCCTAAGAATAACAGTTAATTAACAATTCAGGGGGCAATCCAATTAACACAGGTAGACAAGAGAGACAAGATGCAGAAATTGCTTCAGGGCCCTCAGTAAACCTGGGCACATTTGAGGTTGTACAGCTTTGCATGTGACCTCCCCTCTCTCAGGGAGCTAGTTTCTGGTTGAAGAGTTATGGGTGGCAAATAGAAAGGATGAATGATACAGTGTCCAAAAGAGAACACCTTTCTATTACTGATAGAATAATAAGAATTCCTAAATCCCAGACACTTTTGATGTGGACAAGTGTTAATTTTAACATTTGTTCCGAAAGTTAGGACATACAGTATGTCATGGGATCATGGTAATTTAACAGAAAATGAAAGCGTGGATATTAAAATGTGAGGCCTTTTCTTACTTCTCAGCAGAAATTTGCAACTAAAAAGCCTCGGAGTAAACGGCCCTGATGGCTTCCCTTTACAAAGTTCCTGAAAATTGTGTTTCTTCCATTCACTTTGCTTCTGATTCTTGCTCATATATCCTAGCTAATCTGGGAGGGGGTAGGGGGCAGTGGGGAGGATGGGCGATGACGGGGAAAATCAGAAGAATTGTACTTCAAAGACTGATGTCAAAAATGTTGAGAAGTGAACGTTTTTCAGTCTGCCCAACTCCGATCAATCTAGACTGTGTTTGAAAGGAAGAGTTTGGAGGGAAATTTCTCACATTAAGGATGAGAGAAGGAAAGTCATGTGAACTTACCCAGGATGGAAAACTGAGGTTGAACCTTCGGACTTTGTCATTCCGTCTATTGGTGTGTTGCCAGGGGAAGGATACACCCACTTACAGCTCACTGCAGTCAATCCTGTATCCTCTAAGTTAGGCTCATGAGCAAAAGCACACGGCATTCTCTGTTGAACGGCTGGGAGTCGGAATCCCTGCTTTGGCAGAGTGTCCTGTCCATGGCTTTTCAGTTGATTTCTGTCTGGAGGACTTCTCTTGGCTCCCAAGTCCTTTAAATAGAATGGAAAGATGAAAACGGCAATATTGGGCAAGAAGAGTAACACTTGCAATATTCACGCTTGATTCTGGCTTGGTTTCAGAGTTTTAATGATTTAAAAAAGAAAAATAAATCAATGCATCAATTGACTAGTTTAATTCAGCTGAGATTTACTGAGTCTGTTTTCACAGCTTAGCCAGGAACAAGAGGGCAGAACTGGCCTGTCCCTGTGGCCACTTGGAAGGCCTCTCAAAGAGATGAGATCTGGGACTGGGGCAGATAAGTTGGAGTCTTCTCCAGTTCATATTTGTGCCTCTCTGAATGAGCTCAGGGACCTGGATGTTGGGCCAGATTTAGTGCCAACCAAAAGTTCTAGCAGGAAGCTTACAAGGCAAATAGTCCCTCAGGGAGAACATGGCCACTGGGACCTGACCGAATTAACTAGGGTGCATGCATGAGATGGAAGTCTGCACAGTCTTCAAAAACTGCAGGGGCCACGCGGCATAGAGAAATATGCAGCGTGCAGTTCTGTGGTTTAGGAAAACAGCAGGTTAGAGTGCAGTGTGATCCAATTTTTTAAAAAAGACATATGCACTGCAAAAAAAAAAAGGTCAAGAAAGTTGTACATTCACAACGCTTATTTCTGGATGGTGATGTTCCTAGAAAACTTAATTTTCTTTTTTATAATTTTCAATGTTTTTCAAAAATAGCCTTAATAAAATAAATACACAAATAAACGGCTGTTGTTCATCGTTCTCTACCTAAGTGTAATTCTCACAGATTATAATTAATTACAGATTATTAGAGGACAAAAATATAATTAGGCTCATTATAGCAATTTCAGGGTGCTTTGTAGGCACTCTGTGCCTCTGAGCTCATAACAACAACAAACACGAATCTTAATTCTCTTTTTAAAATAGCTGTTAAAAGAGGTAACCTGCTCGAGGCAACCATAAACTGTGTCAGGGTCACTCTATCATTAGTGGTACCCAACAGCAGGTGGCAGGAAGGTCGGACTCAGTGAGCTCAGATTCCAGGAACCCGAGGTTCTTCGAGGGGCCAGGCATGCAATAGGCGATGTGTCCCTTCTCTTTAACAGCCACTAATGGGCATGCCTGTCTCCTTTGATCTGCTCCTTTGGATCGGAGCAGGTTCCCTTCCTCCCATGCTCCTCCTGAATGGTGCATTCAGCATCTCTTGTCCCTCTCTTAAATCAGGGCTGGAAGACAACTGTGCTAGTGATCCAATTTTATTGACATTGAGCCCAGTAAACTCTGTGGAAAGATGAGGCCTGGTGGCTTTCAGTCTCTCTCTTCCATTCTCTCTCTCTCTCTCCTTTTTAGATAAATCCAATTAGCCCTAACCCTTTTACACTTCTGACAAAAGGGTCAGCAAACTGTTTAGATCAGAAGGGAAGCACCTTATTATGATGCTGTGAAGATACTAAATAAGATATATCCAGGAGACTAAGGGATATGTGGCAATTATTCAACAAGTAGTACTGTATTCTTAATTCTTCCATCTATTCAGAAACCATTTCTGGGCGGGGAGGGCATAGCTCAGTGGTAGAGTGAGTGCTCAGTATGCACGAGGTCCTGGGTTCAATCCCCAGTCCCTCTATTAAAAAGAAGGAACGAAGGAAAGAAACCTAGTTACCTCTCCCCAATAAAAAAAAAATTTTTTTAAGAAACCATTTCTTGAAAATGACCTAAGTGCTAAGAGCGCTCTGCTAAGACCTGAAGACAAAGAGATGAACGTGATACAGCCTCACCCTCCATCTAGCGCAGAGAGGATGTACTTAAACAAGCAACGACAAGATAGTGTTACAGTGGCTGCAAGACACACTGGATGTTATGGGAAAAGCAGGAGAGGGGCACCCCCAGCCCCCTAGTCACCTAGCTTTTTAACGTAAGAGGGTCAGCAAAAGCTCCAAGGTGGGCCGTGAAGGATGAGGACGAATAAGCAGACAAGACCGCAGGGAAGCACCCTAGGCTGAGGGAACAGCAGGTGTGAGAGCACAGAGGCACACAACAGCACGACTCGCAGGGAATGGCGATGGCTTGTTGAAGGCACGTCTGGGTGCGACCCCTGCTCACACCCCCTCAGTGGAATGATGACATGCTACCGTCCACAGCCAAAGAGTTTTACTGTTCGTAGCTAACAGCCCTGCAATGTAAAAGAAAGTAAAAGCAGTTCCTTGCTTTGGGCATGTTCCAATTGGTATAAAATCCTCCCGGGATGATGTTCGGAGGCAGCTTTTCTTAACCAACCGGTTCCTCTAACTCTCCCCAGGTCTCAGTGTCCGCATTCCAGGAGGAACAGGGGTGGGGGGGTCTGTGGGGGGAGGCAGCAGAGGTCTCTCTCCTCTTTCGGCTCTGCCTCTTCCCTCCTGCCTCCTTTCTTTGGTCCATTTCAACTCTTTTGTCCTCTCTGCTCCCTGCACCGCCCAGCATCACATCTCTTCTTGTGCTGAGTCTTAGGGAGGTTGTCAATCATTCAGTTTCATCCACTTCTGCTGCCTGACCTGGCAGGGGGGGCTTCAAATCAAGTGAGTGGGGAAGAGAGGCCATGATCTGGCCTCAGGGTCAAATGTCTGAAAGATCTTCAGAACTTTAATATGATCTTCGTTTAGCTACCTGGTAACAAAGCATGGGTGAATTTTCTATTGTCTGTCAGTGTCTCTGCCTGCTGGGGGAGCATTCTCAGCTTGGTGATGTGGTAGACCATAGGGATGGGGAAAAATTGGAGAAAGAAAATCCATCATTTGACCACAGAGGAGGAGCCATGGTAGTGAGATGGGAGAGGTGAGCAGGGGTCACATGATGAAAGGCACGGCACGTCCTGAGAAGGAATTTGAACCACCCGATGATTCTCCACCAGAATTAAGGAAGAGGGCCAACCCTCTTCATGGCATCCCTCACTGCAGCCCCGTTCTGGTGAGAGCGTGGTACAGCCTTCAGGTGTTCAGGGTCACTATAGGAGATAAAATATTGTAAATGAGGAAATTGTACCAGGAGGTGTTCTGTTTTTGAAAGATCTCTCTGGCAGCAGGGTGGGAGAAGGATTAGAGACTAGCAAGGCTGGAGGCATGAGGCATGAGGACCAGCAGACCAGTGAGGAAGCAGCTGTGGCCACGTAGAGGGCTGATGAGGGCTCGAAGGCAGGCAAGGGTGTTGTGAACGAGGAGCAAACACCAGACCCGAGAGGTACTTAGGAGGCAAAATCAATAGCATTTGGCGAGTAGTCGGAGGTAGGAGCTGGCTGCCTGTACCCTCCATGCACATGTTCTCATCCGGTTGTGTTGGCATTATCGATTATTCTTCCACCAGGACAGGAGCCAAGGGTGTCTTGTTTCCAGGCTGTTTCCAGCCCAGAGCACAGTCCCTGACACATAACAGGTCTTTTACAAAGATTTGCTGAACAGATGAACAAACACATGATTGAATGACATGAAGAATGAGAACAGATGAACAAACACATGATTGAATGACATGAAGAATGACTCACATGTGGATGGCTTAAATGACCGGATGGTCATGGGAGCGATCAATGAAGGGAGGAAGATCAGGAGGAAAAGGAGGTTGGAGTCCAAAATTGCAATTTTATTTTCATCATGTTGTGTTGGAGGTGCCTATGGGATCTCCAGGGCAGATGTCAGCTGCAGCTGGAGCCCAGGGGAGTCCTGGGCTGGTGTCACAGACTAAGGAGTTGTCAGGGCACAGACAGACATCCACAGCACAGGTGTTGGTGGGACCAGTATAGAGAATGAAGCAAAGAAGAGAAAGAAGTTTTTTTTCTAACTAGAAGGCTGGTGTTTTTAAAAATTTGCCTTTGCTATTGTTTTTGTGTTTATTGAGCTGTAATTTACATACCATAAACATCACCAATTTTAGGAATACAGTTAAATTTCTTTTTGCATATTCACAAGGTTGTACAGCAGTCATGACTAACTCTAGAACATTTTCATCATCCTCAGAAGAACTCCTGTACCCAGTAGCAGTCACTCCCCATTCCCTGCTCCCTCCAGCCCCTGGCAACCACAAATTATCTTCCTGTTTCTATGGATTTGCCTACTGTGGTTATTTCACGTAAGTGGAATCACACAATATGTGGCTTTTGTGTCCAGTTTATTTCAATTAGCATAATGTTTTCAAAGTCCATCCGTATTGCAGCCTGTGTCAGGACTTCATTCAGAAGGCTGGTGTTACGGGTTTACAATAGCCAAGACATGGAAGCAACCTGTGTCCTCTGACAGATGACTGGATAAAGAAGATGTGGCATACATGTATAATGAAATACTAATCAGCTATAAAAAAAAAGAGCGAAATAATGCCATTAGCAGCAACATGGATGGACCTAGAGATCATCATACTAAATGAAGTAAGTCAGAGAAAGACAAATACCATATGATTTCACTTACATGTGGAATCTAAAAAAAATGATACAAATGAACTTATCTATAAAACAGAAACAGACTCACAGACATAGAGGACAAATTTGTGGTTACGGGGGGAAAGAGGGAGGGAAGGATAAATTAGGAGTTTGGGATTAGCAGATGCACACTACTATATAGAAAACAGATGAACAACAAGGTCCAACTGCGTAGCACAGGGAACTACATTCAACAGCTTGTAATAATCTATAATGAAAAAGTATATATATATATATATATATGTATGTATATATATATATATATATATATATAAATGCAAAGTAATCACTTCTCGGCCACCCTACGCAGTCTTCTGAATGTATACAGATTTTTGTGTAGTATGTTTGCCTAAATTGAAGCATACATCTATGTGAGTGTCTAGCTGCAAGTGTCCCTATTAAGTAATATAATTTTAAAATAATGTTGATTTTTAAACAGTTAATAAAGGAGCAATAGGTGCTTATAAAAAAAAAAAGGCTGGTGGTTTAATCTTGAGCAAAGTTCCTAGAAGTCCTATCCTTGACTTACAAAGCTGTCTCAGACCTTTCAAATATATCCTTCAGAGTCCAGATGGTGGGTCC